ATCCACCGACGCATCATTCACCAACCTATAACTCTTAACACACTCATTCAAACCTCTTCTGTCCTCATCCAACTAAACGGCCACGAAGTCCTTGTATCAGCGGTATACAAACCACCAGGTGCAACACTCACGTCTCACGACTTGGACTTGTTGACCCAAAGTGCCGAATGGCAAATCTCTGCAGGTGACTTCAACGCCAAACACCCTCTCTGGTATAGCCACTCGACAAACGCTGCCGGTCGCGTACTTTTTGACCACGTTCAACAATCGGACTATACCATTACTGCTCCCTCATCCCCCACACACTTCCCGACAAACGCTAGATACAGACCTGACATACTTGACATCGCACTCGTTCGACTACCTTATCCTACTCAAATCGACAACCTCAACGAGCTATCTTCTGACCACAACCCTATCCTTCTGGAGACCTTGTGTACTCCGGTATCATCGTCCCCTCCAACGACAAACCGCTTCATTAACTGGACAAAATACAAGACAATTCTATCCAACTTACCAAACCCAACTGAACGACCGACCATCAACAGTGAGTCAATCGATTTGGCAATTGATACTCTCACCAAAAACATACAACACGCGATCGAAGCTAGCGTATTTACCCCTAAACACAAAAACTCTTCCTTTTTACTACCTGACTACATAAAACTTGAAATAACTGAAAAAAACCAATTACGCCGTCAATGGCAAAGAAACCGTGACCCGACTACCAAACGTCAACTTAACGCCAAAATCTCATTAATCAGAACTTTACTCGAAACTCACAAAACTGACCAGTGGGACATTTTTCTTAATTCTCTTGACCATCAGGACGGTTCCATATACAAACTAAACAAATGTCTCCTCCACAAACGTCCTGCATCCCACCCTCTTACCGGCCCCAACGGCCTAGTTTTTCCGGCCATCGATCGAGCCGAGTTGATAGCCGACTCTCTCGAACTCCAATTCCAACCAAACCCTGGTCCCGACCTTCCAGAAGTTTCTGCCCACTCCAACTCGCTTCGAAACATAAATATCACAAAATCTAATTTATTCACCACTCCTGGCACAATCCAAAAAATCATAAACACCCTCCGCAAAAAGAAAGCCCCTGGTGACGATCTCATCACCAACACTGCTCTTAAATTTCTACCAAATAACATTTTACTTTCGTTAACACAAATTATAAATTGCTCCCTCAGAATTTGCTACTTTCCACGTGCTTGGAAAAAAGCAGTAATAATTTCCATCCCCAAGCCGGGTAAAGATCACACACTTCCCGAAAATTACCGACCTATCGCTCTACTCTCCTCCATATCAAAAATTTACGAACGAATCATCCTCTCTCACCTTCAAACCAATCTTCGAGACAAAATCCGCCCAGAACAATTTGCCTTCAGACCTGAACACTCTACCACTCTACAACTGACCAAACTTACTCACCAACTTAGTCAGAACTTTAACGACAACGTAAACACCGCCTCCATTTTCCTTGACGTGGAAAAAGCCTTTGACCGGGTTTGGCACGTCGGTCTCCTCTACAAACTGTCCCAACTCAACATCTCGACTGAAATCGTTAAAATCATCGAATCCTTTCTCACTGACCGCACTTTTGTCACAAAAATCGAAGACTCGTTCTCGTCCACCAGACACATACTCGCAGGCGTCCCTCAAGGATCCTGCCTTTCACCTACTCTCTACTTGACTTACATTAACGACATACCAACAACTCCTAAAGCTCACCTCTCACTATTCGCTGACGACACTATGTTCTTTACTTTCGACAAAAACCCGAAACGTGCAGCCATACAATTACAACACCAACTCAACCTAGCTACCACATGGTTTCATCGCTGGAAAATCAAAATAAACCCTACCAAAACAATAGGTATTCTTTTCGGACGTTCCAATACTACTCACATCCCACCACTACTACTCAACAACCATCCAGTGACTTGGTCCAATCATGCCAAATACCTCGGCGTTACAATAGGGCGCAAACTCACCTTCGACAAACACGTTCAAGACATCATCAAAAAAGCCACTCGCGTCCGCGGAATTCTTTACCCCATTCTCAACCGTTCTAGCCCTGTCCCAAAATCTTCAAAGCTCAATATTCTAAAACTCTACGTCTCTCCAATTCTTTCTTATGCTGGCCCCTCTTGGGCTCCTTTCATCGGTCCCTCACATTGGAGACGTATCGAATCTGTCCAAAACATCGGCATTCGCACGATAACGGGTATGCCCACTATCGTTAAAAATTCGGTCCTTCTAAAATCAGCAAATTTCAATTCAATCAAAAATTCTATTCATAACCAATCTAAATCGATGTTCTACAAAAACTCTTTCTCTACTCATTCCCACGTCCGACTCTTAGGGAAATCTCACACCCCACCGTCCACAAAGTGTAGAATCAAACCCTACCCTTTGACATGGGCTGACCAACAAATTTAAAACCACCTTCCTAAACTTCCATCCACTAGTAGAGGCAAAAGCCTGGCATAGTTTCACGGCTTAGCCATCCCCCCAAAGCAAAGCAAAGCAATCTAGTCAGTCCACTTCAATCCTTCAAACTATCAACATCTCCAAGAAACGTTCCGATAGCAAGAAGACCAGGACCAGAAATCGACCGCCGAAGACCGACGACAACGCCGCTCCACGGCTATCAGCGCCATTCGACCGCAGACCACCGACGTTCCCGCCGTTCCCGATTGCGTATATCATCATACCGACGCATATCGACAACGACGCCGCTCCACGGCTGTAAACGTCATTCAACTGCCGAACAATAACGACCCGTCGACCACCTATCTACGGGCGCAAAGATCGGTCGATCAACAACGCCATCATCGTCAGAACCAACCAACCCCGTGACTGCCGCTCAACGGGGTGAGACCAGTGTCAGTGTACTCTTGCCGTGACGAGGCCGCCCGACCGCCACTCAACCACCCAAGCCTACGGGATCACCGGATAGGCCGACCACTCACGGCGTGACAACATTAAATGGCCCTTTTCAGGGCCACCACGACCCTAACCTCGGCACTTGATTAAGTTGTCCGACCCAAGTCTGGTTCGTCGTCGGGGTGCCGCTTGACTTAAGTCTGCACCGACGACGGCCGGCTTCCTAGCCGATCATATTGTATAACTTATATAAATCATTATAAAAACACTTGTGAAGATAGGGTCCGACAATTGTCCGACCACAATACCCAAGCGCCTCCGATTGTGCCGACTCACTTATTTAAGTCCGGTCGGCACAAATCGACGCTTTACTTGTCCCAATATTGTAAATATAAATTATAATTTAACCTAGCAATAGAAAAACTTGATTATCGAGCACACAATTGTTATTTTATTTACGACACGGGTCGTCCAACCGGACGCACCGTTTCACATTATATCAATCATAGACATATAAACTAATGGTCAGCGCTTAGAAAGAGAAAACAGGGCCACAGGGGTACGATGTAAAAGAAACAAAGTAGTAAAACACAGTTCCTTATGCGGGTTAGTCACTTTTTGCACATTTGCAAGTTTACAACTATGTTGTGATGTATTCATGTAAAAATTGACCGAGTCAAAAAATAAAACAATAATAAACAGTTTATTATAAACTACCTACCTAACATAAGTGTAGCTTGATTAGAAAACAATGTAAGTATAATTTTTTTTCCTTTCTTCTGTGATTAAATATTCACTATTCAGTATTTAGATTCACAATGTATCTCTTGTAAAACTATAATGACTATATGTACCCTTTACCACTTTGGGTTGTTTGAACTTTAAATAACTAAATAGTAACCTAAAATGTATATTGCTTATAAATGTGTATTAATTATTAACAACACAAAATAAAATCATAATTTTGTATAGTATAATAATATTAAGTTTGTTCCAACTCGCTGTCAAACTATCATAGAACATCATGCAAATGACTATCCAACAACAACTTTTCTACAAGTTTACAAACTACTTTCTATATATGCAGTTATAAAACCACCCAAATACGGTAACTGCACAGTTGATTCAGCTGATCCAGCAGCTCATTTAATAAAATTATCAGATATTAAACAAATATATACAAATACAGAATCAAAAAGTCCAACTGCACTACAAAATTTAAAAATAAATTAGATGATTTGATTGATGATGGAAGATGGGAACTTGTTGACATAGTGGAACATGATTATGCATGAACGCCTGTAATTGACTATCTTCAATAGACAATATTATATAACAGGTCAACAGGATATCTCTGTCATCAATTAAAGAAAAAAACTGTCTACATTTTGTACCTCATAAATTTTGATTAACCAAATTTTATTTTATAGGTATACCTGGCTCTATAATAATTATTTCTAATTTGTACTATATTATATACAAAATTCCGACAAGTAAAGTATTTAACTTAAAAAGAATTTAAGTACCTACAAGCTACCAACAAATTATTTATTAGACCAGTTTATAAGTCTATGATATCAATATATAAATATGTTATCTGTTATACCACAGAATGGTAATTGATAACAATGATAAGATATAATGACGTCATGGACAGTGAGAAATTTTTTAATGATATAATAATCCGTTCGTATTTTCTTGCAAGCATGAACTGGTGCATCGTCATCTACGTTATCAATTATTATCAGTCGAGACCTTCAAACGTCGATGATAAAATACAAGAAACCAAATCGAAAACGAACTACGAAACCAGTCAAACCCTCAAACCGCGATAGACGACGACTGACGATAAATAATTATGAATATTATATTATGATAATATGATGCATATCATTGTAACTTGTAATGATTATATTGTGATTTCAGAGGCGTGTGCGCTTCGTTGGTAAATAAAATATTAAATAATATGTTTGTCTTGTCTTTGGGTGAACCATCATTTGCATTTGGTTTGTGTTTCCGTCGGCATATTTCTCAGTTGATGACGGCTCCACCGCTACCGCCGCCGTCGTTCACGTCGCCTAGGCCGCTGAATCGCGACACGCATGTTTCTGTTCAACTGCCGTCCCTTGATGTCATGTATGACTGATGTCACCAAATCGACGTACCTGTCATCCAGTAAACGTAAGTGTAACGGGTGTCTACGACCGATTAGCCATAGGGTTTTATAGTAGACCGTCTTCCGACCGTACCTACACCTTTTATTATTTTATTTTATAATCTAATCACTTCTTCGTGTTTGTCGTCATATGCACTCTGTGCATGCGCTTGCAGTGGTCTAAAATTATTTTTAAAAAAAGGTGGTAAGAATTAATTAAGTAAAGTAATTTCTATGTACCTACCAAAAAGAATTAAAAATATACAACTAAAACCATTTAATCATTTAAAAATATTAATTTTTTTTGTTCCTTGGTACCTACCTATTTAATCATTGTTGTTCAATAAAATATTTTTTTTAAATTTAAATTTTAAAGATATCTTTAATTTCACTAACTATTTAAAGATTAGGTATTCTTTATTTTGATCAGATTTAATATTAATAAAATTAATATTATCTTTGCGTAGGTATATATATACCAAATACCCTACCAAATACATTTGTATTCATTATTGTAACATAATGTTATCTGCTAATGATGACATGATTGCTAAATTCAATTAAATACTAATAAACTAAAATATTTATGAAATGTACAGTTTTAATTAATTTTTCAATTAACTTACTACTCATTCCATTCATTCTCACATGTACCTACCAAATAAAACTATCTCTAGATAGTTGCTCTTATTTTCCCATTTTTTGATAACACTTAATTGAATCCGACATGAAATCCTAAATAGCCACATCTCAGAATAACCTATTCTTTAGCCGCATAATTTATAATATAAATAGAAGAACTAAGTGAAAAAGCACAAGAAACTAAGAATAAAAATGTCAAACATTTTAGAGAAAACATATTGAATAATATCTAACACTTCTATTCAAAGATATTTTTCCTCATCAATTATTATCTTTAGATCCATTGAATAATAGTGTTAGAGAGTAAAGAAAAAAAAATAAAAGAATTGGTACTTATTATTGAAAATTATGTCAGTAGTGTTGACGATGAAAGCTGATGTGAAAAAGGCACTAACAGTGATAATTTATATTTTATTTATTAGGTACGGGGTTATTCTAAATATTTTAATAGATAACATTTTTTATTATGTATTTATATCATTTAAATAATTTTGGGTCACAGTGTTTTGCTTTGAGTGATTTTTTCGGTGTGCCTAGATACCTAATATTTCATTAATATAATATTAAATTGTTACTTATGCTAATGTAGTGCAAGCAATTTTATTTTTTATGAAAGTCCAACGCTCAAAAACTACACATATACAATGTGTCATTTTGGTTTGGCGTGATTTAATGTATCAGTTAATTTAAGTTTTGAAAATTCAATACTTGATGAGGTGGTGTCAATAAGTAGTGATAGTTTTAATCTCAGTTTTAATAGATTATAGATGATGATATTTTGCAGTTTACCTAGTTCTCTAGGTATCTATACAATATTATATTTGTACTTAATTATTTCTAAATTAGGTAAGCTTAGGTTAAAAATAGAAAATATACTTCAACATTCTAAAGAGTAAAAAAAAGTTGACGTATACACTATACATAGATAAAGCAGAAAATGAAATAAAATATGTACCAGCTGTATTGGTTCATTGTTGCGATATAATACTCTCCTCTGCCTCTCTCTGCAAACTGTATGTTTTGCTATAAGCCGTCTGTAGAAACCACCTGGGCATGCCGTACTATAGGTATAAAGCCACGTGTACCATAAAAACTATTAATTTTCCTAAAAGAAATAAATGTATCTTATTTAGGTATACCTAATATGTATTATCAAAATAAATTATTTTAATTTATTTGACAAATTATATTTTTTACTAATACTATGCTAGTGTTTACTTAATACTACATTATTAATAAATATTATTATTCACATAGGTACCTAATGAATTAAATTTTTATTTTCTATTGTATTTGTTTTAAAATCTTATAGTGTCATACACAATATTTACTTTTATGTGTTTTTATTTAATATTTTTAATTGAATAATTCAAAAATTTTAAAAAAATTAGCTTCTTAAAAGCTATCTATATGATTTAAAAATCTGATAATCTACTATCTAGGGAATTCTAACTTATAATAAATTAATTTTTATTACAATATTTAATGTAATTTTTTATCTATAAGGAATTCAATCAGTTAAATGCTACTCAGTGTTAAATGTTTATACATTAAATTAAGTTTTTAAAAAATCTACCTATGATATCTTTATCTTATTTTATTTAGAGCACAATATTGTCGATGTTTCTTGAAATATTTTATTTATAAATGGCATACATTTTGGACTATAATTTATAAGGCACATTACATCAAATAGTACCTAAATAAAATAAATACTGTTGTACAATTAGGTTGATTTACCTAGTACATAAATCATCAATTAAGGTGTCTACTGTCTACTTTATAGTACTTATTTGTCCACTTGACCCAATTTAACATTTTTATGATATAGCCATATGAGAAATAAATAATCTTGTTAAACTAAGTTTTTAAAACTAAAAGACAATTTTTATTTGATTGAAAATTAAACTATTTAGTTTTTATGTTATAATCTGTATGGAACGTTTGGAAATGTTTGTTCTTTTCAATATTTTTCTGAATATATAATATGATATAATTTACTTATTAATGTTAAAATTATTTTATTTTAGATAATGGTGTTGTCAAGTCATCCCAGTATTTCACTAAAGTAAAGTATCAAAATGGAGCTATTCGTAATGGTCACCTAAAACCATGGAAAAAGAACCTTTATTCCAATGAAGGTTATCCGGATAATTATACTGATAAGTCTTTCCTAGAAGAATTGAGAAAAAACCTTCATGTACGAAAACTTACACTTCTAGAAGCAATCCTGGGAGCTAGTTTAATTACACAAAGATTATGCATAGTGGTAATTTTTGCATTATCTTTTTACGCTCTGAATTGCAATTTAATTTCTCCACTATTATTGCTAATTTCTTCTACAAGTTTTAGTTTTATCATTTATCTCTTGCTTTATGAAAATTCCAAGGCATTTCCATTATGGTTGATGAAGTCAGCATGTGCATTTGTGATATCTGGTTATATTTTATCACCTGTGTTGAAAACATTGACTGAAACTATAAGCACCGACACCATTTATGCTACAGCCACGGTAATGATGTGTGTACATCTTGTATTTTTTGACTATGGGGTGTCCGCAGTTATAGTGTCAACATCACTGTCATTAAATGCTGCCTTATTTGGTTCAATTTGTTTGTGTTCAAGACTACAAACAGCTTTCCATGTATTTGTATTTATCACAATAGCAGTACAGTGTTTTGCTGTATCACCGATACTTTTATCGCCGATCAAATCTTCCATTACCATCTTATTGTTGTTTGTAACTGTTACCTTTGTATTATGTATAAGGGTGTCATCATTAATGAGTGGACTATTTGTACTTACTGTCTTGTTCATTAATCTGATGTGCCCATACTATTTTGTTAAATGGCATTCATTCAAAGACAACATTTATGGACCATGGGATGAAGCTATTGTGCAAGATATTAAAATAAAAGATTTTCACGTAGACTGAAAAGTGATGAGGGTTCTCGAATTAAATACTGTTTAAGAATGTGTGATATCGACAACCAGTAACTGTTATCTTGGTTTTCCACAAAGTTACCATTCTTCTATTATGTATTAAGTTTAAGTAATTTATTATCAATTGAAACCAAATTATGTTGGTTGATTCCTTAATGCACTCTAGTGGTTGTATTTCATTATAAATTATGTTAAAATTAAAATCATTGCCTATTAAAATTCATTTTTTTAAGTTTGTTATTTTATTTTATTAGTAAAATGTGATGAACATTTTTATTTTAATTATTATATATATATATATTATAATATGAGATATCATCTATGTGTTACGCTAACTGAATTTTAATATTTTTACACTGTATTTTTAAGATTTATCCCACCAGTATATAATTATAGTATTATTAATTATATTATGGTGTTCTTTTTTAATCTTTTATTATCAGATTTAATTTATAGTGATGCCAAATCTAAAGTATAGTTTCATCAGGAGCATGCCTAGACATTTTTACATGGTGGAGGGGGGGTTTTCAATATTTTTATGATGAGCATGTATTAAAATGTATTTATTTACTAGGTAATACTTTTTTTCTAAATTCGTTAAAATGTTGAGTGGGGATGGAACACCCAAATCCCCCCCAGGCACTCCCCTGAGTTTCATGTTAATGAATAATCACTCAATTACCTATTGTCATATTCATAAAATGTGTTAAATGTTAATTGTCTTGTCATTTTTTAATGAAGAATGAATTTGTATGAAATAACAAGTCATTTAAAATCTTTAAATTTTACTTTAAATTAATTTTGTGCTGTAGAATTACTACTAAATTCAGAGAAAACATTAAATTACAGTAGGTACATTAACTTATTACATTGTTCACTGGGATCAGTACTATGTGTGACATAGGAATGTGGGGAATACCTCATGATGATATTCCTGAGTTTTATAAATTTACCTACACAAACGTATGTACATTTCCAAAATGTTTACACAATTCAGATTAAAAAATATCAGCATTTATTAATTTTTAGATTTCATAAATCAATTTCTTACACTTCTTTTGGCTATTATTCTATGCATGGTATATCCTTAGTACTAACAAGAAACACAAGTTACCATTAATAATGTTGGAAGATTTAATTTTAATATGCATAGTATGGTATGTTTTATTAAAATATCTACTATGTAATGAAAAAACAATATAAAAATTACTTTTGGATTTTTTAATAGTAATGCAATTAAAACATAATGTAATATTCATTTCATACACTTTACGATTAGAGATGGCAAAACTATTTGAATAATTGCTGTGTACTAATTTATTTAATACCACAAACAAAAATATTGTTTGAATTTATGTTGTTTGATTATTGCACATTTCATTTGTATGTATAATATGTTTTTTTTTATCATTATTATTATTATAACTATCATTTTTAAGAACATATTCTAAGTACAAATACATCAAAACATTTAAATGATTTGTATAAAATAATATTAATATAGATGTGTCTTACTTAGATAATTATGTGAATGGAGTTTAAAAAAACAAGTTTTATATTTTCAAATATTTTATGTAGACATAATTGTTTTATAACAAATGTAATGTAAGTAATTTTTAAGGATGCTGGATATTAATGACAATAGTTGTCATTGGTTTCTTGACCATCTGTGATGTAGTGCACCTATATTAAAGTCATGTATTTTTTTCTCAAACGATCTCTACACAACTATTGCTATTTCATGCACTGAAATACGGCAGAAAACAATATGATTTACAGTAATACACACAATAGGTACATGATATAGATATTATTTAAAATATTATTTTTCTCTATAAACATGTGAGTTTTCTTATTATTAGGTACCGGGCACCCATACTTTTGAATTTTGTAATTCACGTGGTTAAGGTTTAACATTTCTATAAATATAACCGCTGAGTCGATATTGCACTGTAAACGACTGTATGACTTATTCCATTTATTATAAATTCCCATATGCTAATACATACAATATACATTATTAATTTCATTGATGGTTCTGATGGCAATGTTTTAGATACAGGATAGGGTAATTCATTACACAAACCCACGGCCCATGCTTTATATGCCTTATTTATGTTTTAACAAAAGTCAAAAATGATATGTTATTTCCATACTTACGTTATTGTTTCGTAATGCCACGATTCACGAATTGTATAAAATAATTAAGATTGTGCATTGGGTACGATTAAAGATACTATCTTTAATCGTGGTACCTAGTACTTACATACACATATCACCGCTAATGTGCAGAATATATTATGTATCTGAAAGTAGTTATAATTTAATAGATTATAGATATAATATTAAAATTAATTAGAATAAATATGGTTGCTTAACCTCATAGGTATATTATATGTATTCATTATTGTTTAAAAAAAAAAATGAATTGATTTCGTTATTAATATGCATAGGTACGTATAATTATTCCTAATTACTTGTCAAATTTTTTTTTTATTTCGTGTCGAAGGTAGTTTCAGATGTCTATTATCTATTTATCTATTTGGGTTCTAGCTAAGTAATACGATTTATATTGATCACCTATAGGCTATAAGGCTATAAGCTGTAATATATTATTGTGCAGTGTACACACGAAACGCCAATCAACATTATTCACGATCATAGAATAATAATATTAATATATACCTATTGTATATCGTAGTACCTACGTATACTGTATAGGTTAGGTTGGGTATAAATGTATAATCTTTTATATACCTAGTCATTATATTTGTTTATGTATAAAGCTTTGTATTCTCATTTATCTATAATGATCATCACGTGATATTTGGTAAGACACATACTTGTACAGTAAGTTGTACCTAGTAATAATACCTAATATGTAAACACTCGTGTAAACCTCTTCAGTCGTGTCCACGTGTTTGTCCAAAATCCCAACCATTTATCCGTCAAATAAAAGTAGCAGTGTGGGCTTAAGCATTGTGATGTAACTAACGAATAATTATAAGTTTACCTAAATATTTATTTTATTGATAAAACTATTATTTGCTTTCCGACAATTCGGTTTAATTCGGTTTTTTTTATTTTGGAGCCAAAGAATTTATTTATACAATGTTTGTTAAATGTATAATTATTAATATTATTAATTGCCTATTATTTTATAAATAAATTGTTGGAAAATAAATATATTAATATAATAATATTATGTGACGTTTTAATTATTTTTGCTTATGTACAAAAAAAAATAGGTATCTTTCTACCTTATTAGTTATAAGGGACACATACTAGTTGCGAATGAATTATTTAGGTCAATATAATAACATAATAACAAATTGCGGACACGAGTTTTGTTGCCATAATACTAATTGCATACAGCGTTCTTTTTAAGAAAAACCTCGTAAGAATATAAACCTAGTAAAAATATTTCCCTTCACCACTTTTTTAGGACTTAAGACAAGCTACAAAAAAAATTGGTAGTTGGGGTTAAAACAATTTGTGTCTTGCAGAAGAGCAATCGTTATTTTAAAAATTATTGCGAATGTTTTTTTTTATAAAATATTTATAGACTATTTTCATTATTTATCGTCATAGTTTTTATAGATTTTGTGGCAAAAATTGTTTTGAAACAGCCTGTATAAATGGAGGCCTTCAAAACATTGAATGTCAAACAATTGAACGTCAAAATATTGAACGATAAAATCTTGAACATAAATTTATGTCAACATCTTGAACATTCAAAAACTTGAACATCAAAACCTTGAACGTCGAAATCTTGAACAAAAAAATAGTTTTCGTCAAACCTTTGAACGTCAAAATTTCCGTTCACTCGGAAATCGTTGACAAAAGTGTTAAAATTAAATTTTGTTTTTAAAACATGGTAAAATCTAGGTTAAAGTGATATATGACATTAAAAAAATGCACTATACAATTTATTTTTGTATTATATTTCACTAATGACAAATCTGTTTAAGGGGGAGGGGGGGTAATACTTGATACGGTGTATTCTTTCATAAAAATGACTTCACAAGTAGTTTCTAATTATCTGGGCAGTGGGCTACTCTCTTAAAAATTATATAGATTTTGTGAAACTGAAATGAAAGAAATTAAATTTAAATACTAACCTTAACCTGTATATTTCTCTATACTCTATTCTTTAACCAAAACCCGTAACAATTATTTTGATTATAAAAGTCCTGCTTAAAATTGTGTTATGGTCATTAAAGCGATTAGCGTATAAGGTGTCTATACTATATAGTATATACTTATCTAAATATTACCTATTTTATTGATTAAGATGTCTACACATCTCCACTAGATAATGTTTTTTTTATATCTTAAACTAAATCAATATGTGCAATATTAATAAAATCACCACACTCCTCTTATGAATTATTTCTCAAATAGACCTCTGATGTTATATGGCATAGGTAGACTATAACTCAGTGGACCACTGAACAGTTAATTTCATTCTGGAGGTTGCGTTTACCCCATTAATCGTTAAAGTAAAGTTATTTCCCATGCGTCTATTCAAAATAAGAACACTATACAGTGCATATTATATAGGTAGGTACATAAATAATTAATACACGTCGTTTATGTTACAATTAAAATAACTTTATTTTTATATTATGTTCAATTTAATAGAGGATAAACGTCTACAATACAGGGAATTGTTATGTTCTAGTATTCTTAAATGTTGATTCTTTTTTAATTTTTTCTTATTTTTTTCTTTTTAAACGTGGCAAAAGCTAAATAATACGTCAACACATAGTCGTTACAATATAATATAATTATTATATGTTATGTTTTACGTATGATAATTTAATTTAAGAAACACAAATAGTTATTGTCTTATAATTTGAGAAATTCCAATAAAAAGGTTTTGTCGATTATTGTACTTACCCGTTCAGTGTAACGGGCACAATTTATAGGGTCTGACGACAATGTGCTGCCGCCACACCGGACGAGTGGTGGATATTATGTTTGATACAACAAGGTAAATATTATGACGTTATATTAATATATTATTATTATGTAGTATTATTATTAAAACATTACGATCGTATTATAATATTATATACGTCGGCGAAGCGTGTAACTTAGTGTTAGATTAAATTTTATTTGTCGCTAAATGAGGGTACTGCCTGCGCAACAATATGTTGTCCACGGCCGGCAGTAGCAGATACCTCTTGGTCTTCATCCCGCCGTCTGTTTGCGCCTGTTCTGTTGCCGCCGACGGCTGCTGGTGTTCCCACCCGAGTTCTTCAAACGGCCGCTCAGTATTCGCGACGTTCCCGCTGGAAACCACATACAAAACAACCAAGTTGAAACATTGATAATAAAGTTTGAAATAGTCTGTACTGGGTACCTACCTATATTGTTATAAGGTTAGATTTGGAGGGGGGGGTTGATAATCCTGTAAAAAAATTTAATAGGGAAAAATGGCAACCGCAGTAATAATAGTAATCCAGCGATCGAGACGAAGTAAAACTCTCCAAATTCTTTTAATTTTTACTTTAACTTATAAATCGTTTTATATAAGTCGAACATTAAATGTCTAAATTATATAAGCGGATTTCAATCAGTAACCATCTAAATGTCTGCTGGAGCTTAAGAAGGATAAACTCAAAGTGAACTAAAATACTAGCAACTCGTTCTAAAAAAAAATTGACACATTTAAGTAAAATAAAACAAGGGGATGTATTGGTGACTAATCTGCTGTACATTAGGAATAGAGTGTATCTCGTCATGAGAATAATAGTAATTGACAAAATATTAATATAAAAAAATAAAAATAAATAAATGTTATTTGACAATAATTGAATCAAAACTTTGTCACTGATATAAGCAGCTCAAAAAGAGTCAAAATATTTTTAAAATTTCACCATGCATGGGAAATTGTCAAATAAACATTTGCTAAAAATTTAAAATTATTAGTTTTTGAGTTAAGTCAAAAAACCTAAATTGATTTTGTCGAAACTGGTTTTGCGTAAAAATCCTCGATTATCCATTACTATTTTTACTTTTGACCCCCTCCCCACAAAAAGAATTAACTAGATTCACTTCCTTACCAGAAAATTTTAGTGCCACTAAAGGCGATAACAGACGCAAAAAAAAAAAATAAATGCACTCATTGTGAAATCAATACATTCGTCGCTGCGCTCAGAATCTAATATGAAAATTTAAAAACTTATATAGATAAAATTAAAAACAATTGTAAAATAAAATTATGTACAGTTTTACCCACCTAGTATTCATAACGTGCATATTAAATTTACTTGTTGTTGTATATAAATATTAGATTGTAAATACTCTATTTTTATCAAATAAAAAAAAAAAAATTAAAAAGTATTATTCGAGACCTACCTATATTGAATGAGAATTCCGACGAAGCAGTGTCGTAACCTACCTTACAATTTTTACTCAGCCTTTCTTTTATATAAGCTTCAAACGACAATATTTTACTTTTTTAGTACCTACCTATCCATTATAATATGGTTCTTCGAAATAATATTTCGATGCTCTGAAGTGTTCATAAATATCAGCTTAATAAATAATCCGTATTTTAAAACGTACAATATATTATATTATAATCTCTCGTTTAAGATGCTCTTACACAAAGAAAACATTTTTATACGTTTTTTATACATAAACATATTGCATAATAATATAATATAAATTCTTAACCCTATAGTACCTGCGTAATTTTATCATTATTTTTGCTAAACGACGAGAGATAATAAAACACCCTTCCGGAACAGCGTGCTTTACATATTTCCGTATTGAAATTCAAAACATTTCCTTAACAAATGATGGTCAAAGTAATTACCCAATAAGCAGTTTTTATTTTCAATTTCGAACACATATTTTATTTTGTCAGAAGTGAATATCGTTTACAAAATAAACTGAATTACCAATGGTCATAGGTGCTATTGCAGCGATGCCAAACATAAATTTCATACATTCCAAAAAATATATTATTATACACAGTAAACGAACAAAATGTTTTCAATATTACCTAATATTTGATCGCTTAAACATTTTAAGTTTGTTAATCGTGAAATATTTTCATAATGGATTATAAATATTTAGTATATTACATTAGGCATTATGTGAATTATTCTAACCATAATAAATATTAATCCACACGTCATTATGTTTAACATCAGAATCAGAATAATTTGAATACCTACAGTGCTGACAGACATTCCGTTTTCTCGAAAATGGTTAATTGTCACATACCTAATAATTAATATTTTTCCTATTTTGCACTAATGAAAAAAAAAATCCTAAACGTCGACATCACCGTTTTTTCAAAGAAATGTTTACCTTGGCTTTAATTATTATTTATTATATGACATTTTTATTGTAGCCTATAACCTATTATAGGTACCTACTCTCCTTCTATAATATGTATTTTATATTTTCTTCTCTTTAAGTAGGTAAGAATCAGATTTAAGCTGTTTAGTTGTCAATAGAAACCACTGTATCACATAAAATAGGTAATTAATATTTAAAATAATAACATTAATGTGCAAAATCATAGATGCCGAATTGACACTTTGGCATATTCTGCTGTAACATAGTCACTATAGCTTACAACAAGTTACAAGCTTAAAACTTGAAGTTTCATATGTTGCAGAATACTTAAGCTGAAACTTTTAACACAAACTATATTTTTGTATAAAACAAAGCCATTATTTAATTCATGCATTTTTCAGCACAAACTATTATATTATAAGGATTTTGAAGTTTCAGTTACGCTCTTTTTGTAAAAATTTCAGTTAAAAGTTAAAAAGAAATATTAGACGATACTAGATTCAAATTATTTGTCATAAAAATTAAATTGCTATGCAAGTAGTAAAAAAATTAATCAAACTTTGTTTATATGATACGGGGCGGATGATTTTTAATATAATATATAATAAATATTTTTATATTTATAACAAGTACCCAGTGTTCGAATTTGGGGGGGGGGTGCAGGGGAACGGAGCTCCCCTACTGTTTTTTTTTTTTGCGTACCCCTACTATTTTTTGTATGGTCTGTGTTGGATATTGCGCCCTTGGAACGCAGTTTTTAAATCGTTAGATTCAGCTCCTCTACTTATTTTTTCCCAATTCGAACACTGCAAGCACCTATAATGAGATAAGTTCAACTACGTTTGAGGAGATGAATAAGATAATTTACGGATTTCGGTGAGCTTTCAAGCTGACAAGTGACAGGCTGTTTACACTTGTCAAACATGCTGACAACTGACAAGTATTATTTCGAACTAAATACATTGTGCAAAAGTTGTAATGATAAAAGAGTGAAAAATTAGAATAAGTAAAAGTTTTTTTATATATATAGGTTAAGTATTGACGACAAGAACAAATCATTGTTGAACATATCATCTGCTTTAACTTTAACCGCACTGTACGTCTGTACCAGACTGTACATAATACATGACTTGAAATTAATTATTTTATTTATCAATGTAGTACACTCTAGATTCAGAATTAAGCGAAGAGTATATATTTGCCTTACAGCGAAGTTTTTATTAAGACTCTTTGCTATGACTACATATTTTACAAATAGAACGAGTGTTCGAAAATTTCTTGGGTCACTTTTATGTGCACTTAGTCTGAAATCGAGTTTGCACGGTGGTGGTATCGATATAGTTTGCCTAAAGAAGAATAACAGTCGATAATTTAAGTACATAGATTAATTAATTTAGTTCTTTATACTATGCTATTTTTGACACACACTACACTGTTGAGATATACTCATACAGGTTTTAATTTTATTTTATTGCATTCATAGAAAACATAATACTGTACGTGATTCGTATATTTCACAAATAACAAATTAATTAATAATAATAATAATTTGTGAAAGATCAATGAAGTAGCTTAATTTTATTAGTGGGTAGGAAAATAAGTGTTAATAAAAATTATAAAATTAATCAAAATCTCGCTAATCGATCTCTGATTTCTCACAAATAGACGGTTGTCTGGCCTGTTTTTCGTCTAATTTCGTTTTTAATATTTTAATTTTTTTTCACAGTTATGCCAATTGCCTACGATTTATCAATGAATTTTTATCTGTATCTGCACCGACTGCAACCAAGGGAATATTATTTAATACTATTTACTTGCAGCTATTCGTATAAATGTATAGTATACCCGATTGAACAATTGGATTCAAGTTGATTACAACTTAAAAGGATGGTATGGCATTTAAAAAAAAAAGGTCCCATTAAGCATTTTGTTATTGGATCTAAATAATGACCTTTATATAATAGACTTTCAAAAGCAGCCACCATTGTTAGAATGGGCGTAATGTGCTTATATATATATTATTGTACAGGTATTCGATGAATAATGTTTATTGATAGATTATTTTCCCCATACTGCGGCCAGCTTGATCTTCGTATAATAATAATATAAATTGTAAATATAAAATGCATATTATATGATATCGATGGAAAATTGAAAATAATGTAAATTCCCAATTTTTCTACTCTCTCCAGCATCGTCCCTGCCATCCATGGTCGTTGTCATCACTTGATTTGATTGTGTTTTTGTTATGTAAAAATTTAGTATAGCGTATGTATAAATTAATTTTAAATCGATTTTTAAGTAAAAAGAAAACGTAGTAACATCATAAAATATTTAATTATTTAAATACTGTTTTTCAGCTCACTGAGATTTTAATCACACTGTATTGTATAATATACCACGATTGCCGAATAGGTAGGTACCTATATTGTTATAGTAGGTATATTAAGATTTATAATAGATACAACTATTATCCTCAACCGATAATTCAAAACCTTCGATAATCCTTGATAAAAATAATAAAGTTACTTTCATGATCAAAAACAAAGTTCCTATAAAAATATAACCTAACTTAATCCACGAGTCACGTAAACCGATCAAATTCAAATATATAATATTAATTCGAAATTTACAATACGCTATCGTCGGAAGATCAATTTGAGAACTGCATATATTAAAACGTTGACTTTTAGATTAGTTTAAACGATTTATAATAATAATATTATAAAAACATCCATGGCTTCACTGATTGGCTTGATATCCCATGTACATTATTGTTATTAATTTTAGGTACTACCTTTTGGTAAAATTGTATTGTACTAAAGATATCAATCAATCATTGTTTACTATATTATACACCAGATTATTCTCACCCATCACATATTAAAAAAATAATAAATATGTAATGCTTCAGAATTTGAAATTAAAAATATGTTTTTCATTCAAAAAATTATAAAACCTTATTCAAATGAATAGA